GCCTGTAATCCCAGCACCTGGGGATGCTGAGGCGGGTGGATCCCATGAGGCCATGAGTTTGAGACCAGCCTGGGCAACATGAAGAAACCCTGTCTCTACAAAAAATGTAAACATTAGCCAGGTGTGGTAGTTCCCACCTGTAGTCCCAGCTACTCAGGAGGCTGAGGTGGGAGGAGTGCTTGAGCCCTGAAGGCAGAGGTTGCAGTGAGCTGAGATGGCGCCACTGCACTCCAGCCTGGGTGACAAAGCAAGACCCTGTCTCAAAGAAAAAAACATAATATAAAAATATTTCCCTCCCAAACCATCAAGTAATAGAGATGTCCCCAGAAGTAGCAATGTTTATCATGTGATTTTGTGTATCCCTAGCACTTTGCAAGAGGTATATGAGCCCCAGGTTTGTGTAGCACAGATTTAACTATCTCGGATTTGTCACCCGTTGGCTGGGTGACCTCCAGCAATGTGTTTGGCCTCTCTGTTCACTGCTCTCGGCTGCAAAATGGGGATAACATTAATGTTTATGTCAAAGGTGTGTGTTTTTTTCAAGCTTTAATGAGGTAACGTGTGTAAATCACGGTGCCTGGCACTGAGTAAACACCTGGTAAGTATTAGCTGCTGGCATTGCCATTGTTATGAACCATTTTACTAAAGTTCGTATTCTGATTATCTATTTCAGAGAAGCAAACCACTCCCAGACATAGTGACTTGAAACAACAGTAATGTCTTATTTAGTTCATGAGCCCCCAGCTTGGGCAGCGCTTGACGGGGAAGGCTCATCTATGCCCCAGCATCCACTGAGGGCTGGAGGATCCCCTTCCTAGCCTGCTCACTGGCTGGGCTAGCAAGTAGGTGCCGGCTGTTGGCTGGGAATTCAGCCAGGGTTGAGGGCTGGAAGACGCAGTTGCCTTCCAGGTGGGCCTCTTCCTGTGAGCTGGGCTTCCTCACGGGATGGCTGCTGGGTTCTGAGGGCGACCATCCTGAAAGAGAGAGCCAGGTGGAAGCTATATTGCCTTTTATGATCTGGCATTGGAGTGCACACATCACTTCTGCCATAGGCAATTAGTAGAGACACTTTCAGATTCAAGGGAGGGGACATTGACTTTACCTCTTGACAGGGTTCTGGAGAACATATGGGACTGGAAATATTGTCGTGGTTGTTTTTGGAAACTGCCATCTGCTGGATTAAGTGATTTCCTAATCAGTATTAGGTGATTTCCATCTCACCAACCCCAATGTAACACCATGCAGGTGCTTCATCTTCCATTCTTTAGGGTTAGTCCCTTAGGAAGGCACCTCCTGTAACAGTCGTGTTGAGTTACTAACAATGGCCTTAACAATAAAGGCGTTTTGTTATCTCACAGAACTAGAAGGCTGAGGGTAGGCAGATCCAGGTTTGGGGATGTGCTCCATAATGCCACTAGAGGCCCAGGCTCCTTCTCTCCATCCACTGTGCAGCCTGTGTGCTGGCTTTTTATCATCAGACTTGTCACCTCATAGACGTGACATGGCTGCTGCAGTCACAGGCATCATCTCTGCAGACAGTAGCATTCAAAGAAAGAAGGAAGGAGGCCAGGACTTTTCTTCCCGACCCCCTTTCTCCCCAGCTCCTTCCCTAATATTTTTAGAAAGGAGAAACATCTTTCCTAGAATCTCTGAACAAATGTCTCCTTAGGTCTGATTGGCTAAAACTGGTCATGAGGTTTCCACCAACTGCAAGGGAAGCTGGGAAAACCTACATCTGGCCTTTCCAGCCTCCCTCATGAGAGGTGGGCTTTGCTAGCAAGGAAGAAGAAGAAGGAAAGTGGCCATAGGGAAGGCAGCCAATAGGGTTGGAGATAGGGGTTACTAGATCAAAGAGTATGAACCTGAAAAGATACCTTTTAATTGAAGTTTAATAAACCATAGAAGAGTAGTCAAATTATAGGGGCACAGTATGAATTTTCACAAAGTGAATCCACTCAAATAACCAGCACCCAGGTCATAAACAGAGCATTCCCTACCCCTCAGCCACCCTCTTAGGCCCCCTTCCACTCACTCACAGCCCCCCAAGGCACTAAACAGCATAGGTTTGCTTTGTCTACTTTTGGACTTCAATTAATTGGAATCTTATAGGATGAGTACCTTGTGTCTGGTTTCTCTCCCTTGACATGTTTTGCAGTTCATTCTGCTGTTGTGGGCAATTGTACATTACTGTCATCTTTATATACTATTCCATTGATTAAATATTCATCCATTGGGTAGTCTCCGGGTGGAGCTATTATGATAGTGCTGCTATGGGTGTCTGGGGCCATGTCCATGGTGACATGTACAGACATTTCTGTCATGTAGGTCCCTAGGAGAGGAATTTCTGGGACCTAGGATAGAGGATGCCTATGTTCAGCTTTAGCGGATGCTACCAGTTTCCAAACAACATACTCTCATACCAGCAGTGTGTGCAAGTTCCAGTTTCTCCACATCCTCACCAATACTTGGTATTGTCTGTCTTTAATTTAACCATTCTCAGGTAGTATGTAGTAGTATCATACTGTGATTTTCATTAGTGTAAGAATTAAAGAAAGAGGAGAGAAACTCGAAAGGTGGCTCGCCAGTCAAGACAGGTTTATTTTAGAGAAAACAAACCTGAGAGGAGCCTTCTGGCTGAGTTAGGTCAGAGCCACACTTTCTTACAGACTTAAGAGTTTTTTGTTTTGTTTTGTTTTGTTTTAAAGATGGAGCCTCGCTCTGTAGCCCAGGCTGGAGTGCAGTGGCGCGATCTCGGCTCACTGCAAGGTCTGCCTTCTGGGTTCACACTGTTCTCCTGCCTCAGCCTCCTGAGTAGCTGGGACTACAGACACCCGCCACCATGCCCAGCTAATTTTTTGTATTTTTAGTAGAGACGGGGTTTTGCTGTGTTAGCCAGGATGGTCTCGATCTCCTGACCTCGTGATCCACCCACCTCAGCCTCCCAAAGTGCTGGAATTACAGGCATGAGCCACTGTGCCCCAGCCAGATTAAGAGTTTTTAAGGATTCAGGGTGGGAGAATTTATTAGAAGCTTGGACTGCTTCTGTGTCTCTTTGTTGTGCTTATCTGGGAGGGAGGGTTGTGTGTCTGTTCCCATACATCCTTCTGCAGCTGCAGGCATATCCCCCAAGTCTGCTTTTAGCTTCCCTATCTTAGTGCACCTGAAGGGAAAGGAATGTGCTTATTAAGACCCACTGTTTTACTGGAGTCCATTGTATGAGGGTGAAGTTTGGCAGTTGCCCAAGAGACTTTCCCCCCCGCCTCCCTCTGTGCCTGAGCTGTCTTATCTGTGTTTTACTGTCTGCTCTTTCTTTCTGGCTGTTCATAGTTAGAAGAGAAGTGATTTCCTTGGAATGCATGAGGCTAGAAAGGGAGCTGGAACTTAAAGTGGTGGTGTTTGTCCGAGATGATGGTGCTCTTGTTTTGTCAATTAGCACTTCTCTGTTGGTGAACTCTCTGATGAAGTTGAGTGCCTGTTCTTTTCTTTTCTTTTTTTTTTTTTTTTTTTTTTTATAAAGACAGAGTCTCACACTGTTGCCCAGGCTGTGCAGTGGTGCAATCCCTGACCACTGCAGCCCTGCTCTCCTGGGTTCAAGTCATCCTTCCACCTCCACCTCCCAAGTAGCTGGTACTACAGGGGTGCACTGTCACACCCAGCTAATTTTTAAAATTATTTTTAGTAGCCATGAGGTCTCAAGGTCTTACTACGTTGCCTAGGCTTGTCTCAAACTCCTAAGCTTAAATAATCCTCCTACTTCGTCCTTCCAAAGTGCTGGGATTACAGATGTGAGTCACTGTGCCCAACTTATTGTATGTTTACACTGGCAATCTTCTTTCATAAAATGCCTGTTCAAGTCTTTTGCAAGGCTGCGAACTGTTGGAAGCTCCTGATGCACACTGATTAGTTGCTTTCTAAAATTGCTATGCACATTTGGCTGCCCCTGAGCCACCACCACTATTCCATAGAGTTTTTGGCACCCAGTCTTCTGGGCATACACAACCCTGAACCAGGGTGCACAGCATGGCAGGCAGAACAGGGGTCCTTCGTGCAGTTGACAACCTGTACAACCACACTTGACAACCCTGCCTGCCCCTACCTTGTACAGAGAGCCTCAGGTGGGTCAGGTGGGCCATGTTCAGAGGAGAACAGAAGGAAATGAGAGTTTGCAGTTATGCTGGAGGTAAGATGGCTTGGGGGACCTGCTCAGTTGCTGCAAATACCTAAAGGACTCTTCTGGACCCAGGAATCAGCTTTGTTCTAGGAGGTCCTAGAAGCCAAAGCCAGACTGGCCAGTTTTAGCTCAACACAGGTTAGGCTGTGAACGTTCTATGAGGTCTGGGTTATTGCATAAAGCTCAACATACAGTATGCACTTCATATATACCTTTTGGATGACTACTTAACAAAGCTATCCTGTAACAAAATGGGCTGTGTTTGGCGTGGGTTGGGGGAGGTAGTGAGCTCCTAGGCACTGTGGGTGTGCAAAGTCAGGCAGGAGGACTGTTGTCCTTCTACAATAGTAGAAGGGGAGTAATGCCTTTGTTGAGGACCACTGCATATGAAATCAAAGATTCTGTCAGCCCCTGGACTCTGTGAAGCTATGAATTATCCATGCTGGGTTTCAGTAAAGGCAGGCTGATTTCAGTATTAGCCGAAGCAAACCCTAATTAGGAAGGCAAATTGATTTCCAAAAAAAGAATTGGATGATATGTTCCCAGGACTGTTAGAAATGGCTTTTTAATTGTCTGTTCTTTTGCATTATTCATGCAAATGTATGTCTTTGTGAGCTAAGTCAGTCTGCCTCTTTCCCTCGCTTCCCTCTCTCCCTCTGCCAGGGTTAGCACCTTCTCTGTTCCAGCCCCTTCAGTTAGCCTTCCTCTGGGGATTTGGGGGCTCATAAGGAAAAAGAGACAGATATGCTGGGGAGAGCCTCCAGCCATGGGGGCCAATGAAGAACCATGCAGAGCTAAGAGCTGGCTTTCTGCGCCCACCCCACCCCAGGTAGCCCGGTCACAGGGGAAAGGCATCTTCCTCTTCCGCAGGCTGAAGGACATCATGGACTGGAGGAAGGTGAGCCTGCCTCTTCCCCTTCCTCCCTGAACCCTCCTCTGACCTTGCCAGCAGGAGGGGCCCCTCCTTCCTGCTGTCAAAGCTCAGAGGGCTGGCAGAGAAACTCTGCCCACAGGTCTGCCCATTGGAGCAGGGTCTCCAGAGCCAGGTTGTTCAGGTTCAAATCCTGACCTTGCCACTCAATCACTCAATAGCTGTGTGCCCTTGGGCAAGTTACTTCACCTGTCAGTGCCCCAGTAAATGTGAATGGTAATTGTACCTGCTGAGGATGCAGTGAGCTAATAAATACACACACCCACACACATACACACACACACATTCTCACACATACCCACACACCCAGCACAGTGCCTGGCACTCAGCGCTCGATGCACATTTTTTATCTGAGCCTCCTGCTCATGTGGCTGGGGAAAGTTTGGCTGACTCTTCCTCAGGGCCTAGACTGAGCCTCGGGGGCAGCTCCCTCCCAACCCCAATCCATTCTTGTCCCAAGACATGGTGCAGTAGAAATCCTGATTCAAATCCTGCCTCTCCCACTCAGCAGATGTGTGGTCTTGAGAAAATGACCGAAGCCCTCTGAACCCTCTGAATCCGAGTGGTGACGATGGTGCAGGGTGGGTGGGAGGAGCAGGATGGCTGAAATCCTATAGGACCAGCCCCTGCTGTACCAGGAGGTGAACAGCAGTGCTCAGTGTCTGGACTCCTCCCATGAAACTGTCAGGGCACTGCAGGGAAGAAGCTCAGCAGCCTGGAGGCCCAGCCTGCTGGAGCACTGTCAGTCCCTCTGGCAGCCACGTGAGTGGCTGGGCCCAGGTCCCAGGAAGGCAAGACCTGGCTGCTTCTGTCTTAATACAGCTAAGTGGGGAACAATGGTGGGTGGAGCAGGTCTACCCTGAGAGCCAGTGCTGCCTGCCATTGTTGGGGCTGTTGTGTCACCCATTCAAGTGTGTGACCCTTGTCTTTGAATGAAGGGGACAATAGGTGGGAGAGGCATTTGCAGCCTGTGAGGTGCTGTGCAGATGCATGAGAGCATTGCTGCCTTCCAGAGCTGGGCTGGCAGGTAGAGAAGAAGGAGCAATGCCCTTGGGGGCATGGTGTAAGCAGCACTGTCCAACAGAACTTTCTAGAGAGATGGAAATGGTGGATATCTGTGCTCTCCAATGCGGTGACCACTAGCTACATGCAGGATGTTGAGCGCTTGCCATGTGGCTGGTGTGACTGAGGACTGGATTTTTAATTTCATATCCTTTTTAAAAATTGTGGGCTGGGCGTGGTGGCTCACACCTGTAATCCCAGCATTTTGGGAGGCTGAGGTGGGTGGATCACTTGAGGTCAGGAGTTCAAGACCAGCCTGGCCAACATGGTGAAACCCCATCTCCACTAAAAATACAAAACTTAGCCGTGGTGGCTCTCACCTGTAATCCCAGCTACTTCAGAGGCTGAGGCACAAAAGTCGCTTGAACCCGGGAGGTGGGGGTTGCAGTGAGCTGAGATCATGTCACTGCACTCCAGCCTGGACAACAGAGCAAGACTCATTTTCAAAAAAAAAAAAAAAATTGTGGTAAAATATGTAGCATGAAATTTACCATTGTAACCTCTTTTAAGTGTGTGGCTTTGTTACATTAAGTGCATTCACATTGTTGTGCAACCACCACCACCGTCCATCTCCAGAATGTTTCATCTTCCCAAACTGAAGCTCTGAAACTGTTAAACACAAGCTCCCCATCCCCTTCTCTCCCCAGCCCCTAGCAGCCCCCATCTACCTTCTATCTCCATGAACTCGACTACTCCAGGCACTTCATCTAAGTGACACCAGACAATATTTGTCCTTTTGTGTCTGGCTTATTTCACTTAGCCTTATGTCTTCGAGTTTCATCCATGCTGTAGCATGTAATTTCATTTACTTTTCATCAAGGTAAATGTGAATAGCCTCCTGTGGCCAGTGACTGCCCTACTGGGCAGCACAAGTCTAGAGGTTAAACACGCAGGCTCTGGGCCCAAACCGTGTAGGTTCACATCCCAGCAGCACCACTAACTGACTATGTGAACTCGGACAAGTTACTCTCCCTTTCTGTGCTTCTAATCTGTGAAATGGAAATAACATTAGTACTTACCTGATAGTAAGTACTAATAGGGTTGATTTAAAGATCCAATGAGCTACCCCAAGTAGTGTCTAACACAATGCCTAATACATAGGAAATGTTCCATAAATAAATGTTCAATTATTATTATTATTACAACTAGGACACAAGAAGCTCTGATGACCAGAAAGATGATATTCCTGTGGAGAACTATGTGGCTCAGCGTTACATTGAAAATCCCTACCTGATAGGAGGTGAGACGGCTGTCTCTGCTCCTGCTCTTCCATTGCATGGTCATCAGTCAGTCAGTCAACAAGCTTTGACCAGCAGCCTGCCAAGGGCCCAGCCTGACACCAGGCATGAAGGGTTGCGTGGAAAAAGATGGGTTCTGCAGTCTCCCACCTCCAGCCATTGCCTGTACAGTTCTCTCTGCCCAGCATGTCCATTCCACTCCCTTCTTGGTTCAGGAAAATTCTCCTCCTTTAAAAACTAACTTATTCATTCATGCATTTATCCAACAAATATTATAAAGTACCTACTTGGTGCCAGCACTGCCCTGAAAACTGGCTACCCCCCAACCCTGCTCTCCTGGAGCTTACACCCCTGATGAGCAGGCTGCAAGAAACCAGAAAACAAACCACGGGACGGTCCCATGCAGTGCTGGGTGTTAGGAAGTCAGTCAAGCAGAGCAATGGGACAGAGAGTGACATGGGGGCCAGGAGGTGGACACGTGAGCTGAGACCTGAGTGACAACTACGAGTCACTGTGGGTAGATTTGGAGGGAGAGGAATGCAGGGAGGAGGAATTGCAAAGGCAGAAGGCCCTGAGGTGGAACCCAGCCTCCTGCCCGCAACCTTGGTGAGTTTCCCCAGGCAGGCCAACATCTGCTTTTCTCACTGGGGCTCTGGGAACTACAGGCACATCAGGCATGTGGGACGTCATTGCAATAGTGTTAATGCCTCCTCCCACGTCCTCTGGCAATTACCTTCCCCAGGGGGAAGTCCCTAGGCCTCTTCTCCTCTCTCCCCCATAGTGACCCCATCCTGTCTGTGGCTTAAACACCACCCAAAGGCCAGTGACTCCCAGCTTTCTGTCCCCAGCCGAGACCTTGCCCCTGAACCCCAGATCCTAATGTCCAGCAGCCTGTGACATCCCTCTTGGGCATCTGCCAGCCACTCAAACCCAACACATCCCAAATTCTGCCCTCCCATCCCCCCACCACTCCTCAGCTTCTCTGTTGGGGACACAGCTAGAAGCCAGGAGCCATTCTGGGTGTGTCCCTCTTCCCCTGCCACATCTGGTTCTCACCAAGCTCCTACAAGCTCTTGAATCTGCCTGGCCGCTCCTCTCACCTCCACCCTGGGCCCAGCCACCATCCTCTCCCTCCTGGACAACCACACCTGCTCCTTCACTGGCACCTGCTGCTGTTCTGCCCACTTCTCTCCACCTCAGCGTGGCAGCCAGAGGGAGGAGACACCCTTCCATGGCTTCCCATGGTTTGTGAGACAAAACCCCAAAACTGCATGGGTCATGACCTCTGCCAGCCTAGCCGACCTCATCTCCTTCCATTCTGCCCTTGGCCCGAGCTCTTTCCCCCTCCAGGCCTCTGTTCTCGCAGTTCCTCCTGCCCAAGGTCCTGCACCACTCTGGGCTAGGCAGGCACCTTCACTCCATGAAGGTCACCACTCCCCATGGGGGTCTTTGACCAATGAGTTTCAAGCCTTTCCCCCATGTTGACCCCCACACACCCCTCCCCCGCCTCCCGTTATTCTCTCTTTATACCTTGTGCAGTTTTTTTGTTGTGTTTTTTTGAGACCATGTCTCGCTCTGTCACCCAGGCTGGAGTGCATTGTCATGATCAGAGCTCAGGCAGCCTCCATCTCCTGGGCTCAAGCGATCCTCCTGCCTCAATCTCCAGAGCAGCCGAGACTACAGGTGTGCACCACCACGTGAGGCTAATTTTTTGTAGACACAGTCTCACTATGTTGCTCAGGCTGGTCTTGGATTCCTGGCCTCAAGCGATCCTCCTGCCTCAGCCTCCCAAAGTGTTGGGATCACAGGCATGAGGCACTGCACCTGGCCCCTTGTGTCGTTTCAGCGGGAGCTTCATGAAGGCGGGGTTTCCTGTCTGTCCACTGCTATTTTCCCAAAACCTAGCACAACGTCTGATGATCAATATTTGTGCACAAATTCTTTCTTTCTTTGCCTGACAGGCCGCAAGTTTGACCTGCGTGTCTATGTGCTGGTGATGTCGGTGAGTAACGAAGGTGGGGTCCCTCTTCCAGCAGGGGTTAAAGGGTGGCTGGACTAGGGAGATGGGGGGAAGAGGCCTGGGGGTACCTTGTATGAACTTGTCTGGTCTTATCTCTGCCTGGGAGAGCTCCGAGGGACATCTAGGGATAGGGTGGGGGCAGGAAGACTTATCTGAGGTTTACCATTTTAGATGCCCCAAAATTTAGATTTGCCCTCTCTCTGCCCTTCTTTATTCATTCGGTCATCCACAGCAGACATTTATGGAGCACCTACTAAGTACCAGGCCCTGGCACTTAGCAGGTTTTATCTCATTCAGGCCTCCTAACAACGCAGAGAGGCAGGTTCTGTTATTATCCTCCCTTTACAATGAGGGAACAGATACAGAGGTTGTGTACCTTGCCCAAAGTCACACAGTTGGTGAGCAGCAGAGCTGGGATTCAAATCCAGGTAGCCTGGCCTCAGAGCCTACTCTCTTAACCAGGGAGTGGCTATGTTCCCTCCACCCATTCATTCATTCCTTCATCCAGCCAACGTTCAAATCTTTTTGCTGGGCACAGGATATGGAGGTATCTGAGGCAGACTCCACCCCTGTCCTCCTGGACCTCACCTTCATTTTGTTTCCTTCTGTATCCCCCTCCCCCTGGGGGAAAGGAGGGGACAGAATCAAAGAAGGCTGGTGTAAAAGCAGGTGCCTGAAGGATGATTTGGGAAAGACAGAAGGGCACTCCGGGTGGAGGAAACGGTAGGTGCAAGAGCTAGGCGGTCTGAGAGTGCCTGAATATATTCCCTTTCCCTTCTCTCTCTCTGTTTCCACCTCTGCCTTAGTACATCCCGCTGCGGGCCTGGCTCTACCGGGATGGCTTTGCCCGATTCTCCAACACCCGCTTCACGCTGAACAGCATTGATGACCAGTGTATCCTGGGATCCTGCCTAACCACCCCCAACACACCTACCCCTTCCCACACTCTGGCCGGTCGCAAGTGAACTCCTTTGTCCCACAGATGTTTGCTGAGTGCCTGCTGTGGTCTGGGCACAGGAGACAGTGTATGAGACAGGTCTGGTCCCTTCCCTCTGGGAGCTTCCAGTCTTGTGGGGGTGATTCCGTGGGAGAGGCCAATTCTGCTTAGGACAGCTCACCACAAACTGCTCTGCCTAATGATAGTTTTGGTGCTATGGCTAACATTCACATTTACTTATATTCCTAGGGTTGGACAGTTTTAGCCCTTTGGAGAACACTTTATATGCCTGTTTCTTCGGTGCCTAGTCATTGGCTCACTCATTCATTCAAGCATAATGCTATTTTCACCCATCTGATTGGCAAAGACCAAAAGTTTGATAACACGTTGTCCTGGTGAGGCTGGGAGAATACATATGTTGCTGGCGGGTTTGTAAATTGATTGGTATGACTTCTTTGAAGACAATCTGGCAAAGATCTGTTAAAAGACAAATGTACCTATCCTGTGACCCAGCAATTCCCCTTCTGGGATTTTATCGTCTTACAAGTACATCTGCAGTATAAGACAAGACAGGCTTCAAGGTTATTCACTACACAGTCTTGTCTGTGAGAGAAAAAAATAGGGAACAATGAAATGAATGTCTCCTTTATACAGTGGAATACTATGAAGCTGTTAAAAAGGAATGGGGAAAGTGCTTTATGTCCTGATATGAAACGATTTCCAAGATGTATTGTTAATTGGGAAAAAACAAAGTATGTCTAGAACAGTGTGAAAGTATGTTCTCATTCATGTTAAAAATTATATCTGGCCAGATGTGGTGGCTCACACCTGTAATTCCAGCACTTTGGAGGCTGAGGCAGAAGGATCACTTGAGACCAGGAGTTCAAGACCAGCCTGGGCAACATAGTGGGATCCTGTCTCTATGAAAAAAATAAAAATAAAAATAAATTAGCCAGATGTGGTGTCACATGCCTGTACTCCCAGCTACTCAGGAGGCTGAGGTGGGAGGATCACTTGAGCCCAGGAGTTCGAGGCTGCAGTGAGCTGTGATTTTGCCCCTGTGTGCCAGTCGGGGTGACACAGCAAGACCCTGTCTCAAAAAAAAAATTCTCTTTCTCTCTCTATATATATGTTTGCTTATCTGTACATAGACATCTCTGGAAGAACAGACAAGAAGCTGGGTGCGGTGGCTCACACCTGTAATGCCAGCACTTTGGGAGGCCAAGGCAAGTGGATCACCTGAGGCCAGGAGCTGGAGACCAGCCTGGCCAACATGGTGAAACCCCATTTCCACTAAAAATACAAAATTAGTTGGCATCGTGGCACCTGCCTGTAATTCCAGCTACTAGGGAGGCTGAGGCATGAGAATCCCTTGAACCTGGGAGGCAGAGTTTGCAGTGAGCTGAGATCACACCATTGTGCTCCAGCCTGGGTGACAAGAGCAAGACTGTCTCAAAAAAAAGAAGCTGGAAATAGATGTAGCCTTTGGGAAGAGAAATGTGAGTGGAGACAGAGGTAGAAAGGAGATGGTTCCTTACATACATTGTGTGCGTTTCAACTTTTGAGCAATGTGAATGTATTATCTGGTCATAATAAACACATCAAAAGAAGATCTTTAGGCCTGAGCCTCAGAGGAAAAGAGGTAGAGAATCCAGTAATATTTAGGAGGCAAGTGGGCAGGACCAGATGACCTGCACATGGGAAAGATGGAAATAGGGGTGACGCTACCCAGCTTCGGGTGTGGGCAACCCAGCCAATGCTTTTAGCCCATGTGCACCTCTCTGTGTTAATTTTCCCATTCAGTTGAGTGCGTGTCCAAGGTGATGCATGTGCATTGCCTGCATGTGAGACTGGGATTAGACCTTTCTGAGTATTTTTTGCAGTTTGTTTTTTTCTATTTTGCCAACGTCAGCACTTCCAGTACATTCATTTTATTTTGTAATTCTAACAAGCATTTATCATATGCAAGTCATCGAGTTTTTTTGGTTTGTTTTTTGTTTTTTACTAAAGTTAAATAATACATGTAAAGCACTTAAAACAGTGGCTGGCCCAGAGTGACCTCTCAGTAAATGTTAGTGGTCCTCCTCTCCCACTTAAAAATGTTTGCACAGCTCTGGGCATCGTGGGGACTTTTTAAACAAATCAAGCCCTCTCCCGAGGCTAGTTACTAGTTAATGAGGCTTTGCTGTTTTCACAGTGAGTAAATACACATTTTCCACCCCTTCTTTTATATTGTTTAAAATTTTTAATCTTGAAATATTAATAGAAAATAATTTCCTATAAATAGAAAACTGCAGGAAAGACTATAACAACCCATGCATTTACCATCCAGATTTAACAGATTAATATTTTATCATATTCACATCAGATATTACACACCAAATTTTAAAATCTTGGATCACAAAATAATAAACATTTTCAACCTGACTTTATTATATATAATATATATAGTTTATATATAATTATTCAAATATATATTTACATATAGTATATCTATACATACACTAAATACAAAAATATTCATTGAAACACTGTATATAATAGTGTACAGTCATCAACCTTGATCCCTTAAATCTCCCTTGAGGGATGGTGAAATGAATGATAAAGCATCTATGTGATCTTGTGCATCCATTAAAAGCAATGAGATAGGTCGAAATATCAGGACATAGAAAGGTACCTAAAACAGATGACTAAGTTAAAAACAAAATGTAAGATGGAGAACTGGTATATTCACGTTCTCATTTTTGCCTTTTTTTTTTTTTTTTTTTTTTGAGACAGAGTCTCGCTCTGTCGCCCAGGCTGGAGTGCAGTGGCCGGATCTCAGCTCACTGCAAGCTCTGCCTCCCGGGTTCACGCCATTCTCCTGCCTCAGCCTCCCGAGTAGCTGGGACCATAGGCGCCCGCCACCTTGCCCGGCTAGTTTTTTGTATTTTTTTAGTAGAGACGGGGTTTCACCATGTTAGCTAGGATGGTCTCGATCTCCTGACCTCGTGATCCACCCGTCTCGGCCTCCCAAAGTGCTGGGATTACAGGCGTGAGCCACCGCGCCTGGCCTCATTTTTGCCTTTAAGGAAGAATGTTTCTGTTTAAGAAGAAGTATGAAAGGATGTTCATGATTCACTGATCTATCTTACTGATTGATTGATTGATTGACAGTTTCCCTCTCTATTGCCCCTGATCGAGTACAGTGGTGGGATCACTACTCTTTGCAGCCTTGAACTCCTGGGCTCAAGTGATCCTCCCATCTCAGCCTCCTGAGTAGCTGGGACCACAGGCACACGCCACTATGCCTGGCTAACTTGTTTTTTGTAGCAATGAGTTCTCGCTAGGTTGCCCAGGCTGGTCTCAAACTCCTAGGCTCAAGAGTGTGACCTTGATTCAACAGTTTGAATCCTCCCACCTTGATCTTCCAAGGTGCTGGGATTACAGGCGTGAACCACCGTGCCCAGCCTCACTAATTTATTAACTCTGAAAACTGCAGAGAATTAGAGTCAGGTCAGGAAACATTTATTTTCAACTTTATACATATCTATTATGAATTGTTTCTACAACGGATAGGCCTTACTCTAATAATAATATCATAAAACATCTAAAGGATATAGTTTTTATAAAAGTGGTATAGCTCATGAAAATCAAATCAGAAAATTCAGAAAAGTACCAAAAGGAAAAGAAACCTTCTCTAGGCACATTTTCTGGCAAAAACTACTTACTAGTTTGGTGTATTTCCTTCTAGGCTTATTTGTAGGGAATTTTGTTGTCATTCACCTTTTATATACAAATGATTCCACTGTACAAATATAACCTTTTCTTGCACTAAACATTATCAGCAGTATTTTCCTTGTAGACTTTTTTTTTTTCCTGTTACAAAAATATTCCACTGAGTAGGTTTCCTGGTTTTCTAATCCCCCATGCTGCAGGCATTCGGGAAGTATTCAGTTTCTTGCTATAGTGACACATAATGCTGCAAAGGAGCATATTTCTTCATAAATCTTTTACGGTATTTAAGATGTTTCCTTTGGATGGTGTCATAGAGGTGTAAATACTGAGTCAAGCCCATCTGGCCACATTGCTTCCCAGAAGTGTCCTTTTATGTTTTTACCCTCGCTGGGTGTGGTGGCTCACGCCTGTAATCCTAGCACTTTGGGAGGTTGAGGCAGGCAGATCACTTGAGGTCAGGAGTTCGAGACCAGCCTGGCCAACATGGTGAAACCCTGTCTCTACTAAAAATATAAAAATTAGCCAGGCGTCGTGGTGGGCGCCTGTAGCCCCAGCTACTCGGGATGCTGAGGCAGGAGAATCGCTTGAACCAGGGAGGTGGAGGTTGCATTGAGCCAAGATTGTGCCACTGCACTCCAGCCTGGGTGATAGAGCAAGATTCTGTCTCAAAAATAAATAAAATAAATAAATAAATAAAATAAAATATGTTTACCCTCCTATTGACTGGTCCATTTCATCCCGGCTCCCCAGTCCTGGGGACAATTGTTTTAAACAGCCATTTCTGAAATGATTGGGCACATCTAGGTGAAGCAGATAGGGGCATTCATTATATGACTCTTGCAAATATTCTGTGAGTTTTGAAGTTTTCAAAATGAAAAGATTTTTGTACATCCCACTGACCTGATGAGGAAGCAGAGTTTTGCCTTAAAATTAGCATTTCTTCCAATTTTCATTTTCCCCATTTGCATGCCTTTGAAATTATATATCTTCTATTACTAGGAACTTTGAGCTTTTTCCCAGATGGGGTCCTACCAGCTGTATTTTCTCTTTTATGTTTGTCCATATCCTTTACTTAGTACATAAACAGTCATATTTTTTATTGTTACTTCATGTGGGGTTTTCACGTGACAGAAACGTTAGACTGTTGCGTTTGCTACACATCTTTTCTGTGGTCACAGATTCTTTAATTTTTGTCTTGACATCTGTTTATTTTTATTTCACATGCTTGACAGCTTACTTGTCCATTGGTTTCTTCTGTGATTTTTACCATCATTTCTAAACTAAGAAAAGTCTTTTTCTCCTAAAGATTTCACAATGAATCAGTTCTGTTTCTCTGTGGATTTGGTTATATGTTTACTCTGCTACTTGACCATTGGTCCATCAAGACCTGGTTTTAGGTTCCTCTCTAGAGACGGGAGGCTCTGAGGTTTGCTGACCCACCTCCCACCGCTTTCTTTTAGCCTCTCCTTCTCCTCTGCTCCTAAGGAGGCCCACTGTCTCCTCCACAGCAGGCAAGAGCAGTGTGTGAAGTGTGAAGTTCTGGGAGCCGTGCTTCCTTCATCCGAAGAGAGCTATTCGCCCTCTTCAGCCAGTAACTCACTTTGCTCCAGCATCCTCTTTTCCTTTTTTTTCTTTTTTTCAAGACAGAGTCTTGCTCTGTTGCCCAGTCTGGAGTGCAGTGGCACAATCATGGTTCACTGCAGCCTCCATCTCCTGGGCTGAAGCGATCCTCCTACCTCAGCCTCCCTTGTAGCTGGGCCCACAGGCATGCACCACCATGCGCAGCTAATTTTAAAATTTTTTGTAGAGACTGGTCTCACTATGTTGCCCAGGCTGGTCTCAAACTCCTGGGCTCGAGCGATCCTCCTGCCTTGCCCTTCCAAAGTGCGATTACAGGCATGAGCCACTGAACCTGGCCTTCTCTTCTCCTATTTTTTATAACAGGTTTACTTGGCCATAATATCTTCATATCTTGAGATATATATTGAGCTTTATTGAGATATAATTCACATATCATACAATTTACCCAGTGAAAGCATGCAATGAAATGACTTATCATATCCACACAACCATTACCACAATCAGTTTTAGAAAATTTATTTTGTTTTTGAATCAGGGTCTCCCTATATTGTTCAGGCTGGTCTCGAACTCATGGGCTCAAATGATCCTCCCACTTCACCCTCCTGAGTAGAGGATACTATAGGCATGAGCCAACATGCCCAGCTTTTTAGAATATTTTTATCGTCTCCCCAAAGAAATTCCATCATCCCATTAGCCATCATCCCCTATTCCTCCCTAGACTCCCCTCCCAGGCCTTTGCAGCCACTTCCTGTCTCTATGGATTTGCCTATTTTGGACATTTCATATAGATGGAATCATACACTATGCAGTCTTTTGTGTCTGACTTCCTTCACTTGGCTTGTTTCTAAGGTTCTTCTATGTTGTAGCATGGATCAGTACTTCATATTTCTTTTTGGTTTTTGTTTGTTTGTGACCAAGTTTTGCTCTTGTTGCCCAGGCTGGAGTGCAGTGGCCCCATCTCAGCTCACTGCAACCTGTGCCTCCTGCGTTCAAATGATTCTCCTGCCTCAGCCTCCCAAGTTGCTGGGATTACAGGTGCCTGCCACCATGCCCGGCTAATTTTTTTTGTATTTTTAGTAGAGATGAAGTTTCATCATGTTGGCCAGGCTGGTCTTGAACTCCTGACCTCGGGTGATCCGCCCATCTCAGCCCCCCAAAGTGCTGGGATTACAGGTGTGAGCCACCGCGCCTGGCCTTTCATATTTCTTTATTGCCAAATATTCCTTGTATAGATATATCACATTCAGTAAAATGGGTATACCATTTTATCCATTGTTGGCACTGGAGTTGTTTCTGCTTTTTGGCTATTATGAAAAATGCTGCTATAAAAATTTCATGTACAAGTTTTTGTGTGGACATATGTTTTCATTTCTTTTTCTTTTTCGAGACAGTGTCTTGGTCCCCCAGACTGGAGTGCAATGGTGCCATCTCGGCTCACTGCAACCTCTGCCTCCCGGGTTCAAGCGATTCTCGTGCCTCAGTCTCCTGAGTAGCTGGGACTACAGGCGTGCGCCACCATGCCTGACTTAATTTTTATATTTTTAGTAGAGATGAGGTTTCGCCATGTTGGCCAGGCTGGTCGCAAACTCCTGACCTCAAGTGATCTGCTCACCTCGGCCTCCCAAAGTGCTGGGATTACAGGCATGAGCCACCACACCCAGCCTATTTTGTTTCTCTTGAGTATATATCTAGGAGTGGAATTGCTGGTCACATAATAATTCCATGTTTAACTTTTGAGGAACCTGTAAACTGTTTTCTAAGGTGCTGCACGATTGTACATGTCCACTAGCATTGTTTGAGGGTTCCAATTTCTTTATATCCTCGTCAACACTTGTTATTTTGTATTTTTTGAGACAAATTCTTGCTCTGTTGCCCAGGCTGGAGTGCAGTGGTGTGATCTTGGCTCACTGCAGCCTCGACTTCCCAGGCTCAAGTGATCCTCCCGCCTGAGCCCCTCAAGTAGCTGGGACTATAGATGCTCGCTTCCGTACCTGGCTAATTTTTGTATTTTGTGTACATACAGGGTTTCACCATGTTGCCTAGGCTGGTCTTGAACTCCTGGACTCAAGTGATCTGCCTGTCTTGGCCTTCCAAAGTGCTAGGATTACAGGCGTGGCCATCATGCCTGGCCAGTACTTGCTATTATCTGTCCTTTTCATTATAGCCATTCTAGTGGATGTACACTGGTTTTGACTGGCATTTCCCTGATGACTAATGATACTGAGTACCTTTTATGTGCTTGTGACCACTTATAAATCTATTCAAATCCTTTGCCCATTCTTAAATTGGATTATCTTTTTAATGTTGAGTTATAAGAATCCTGTATGTATTCTGGATACTAGTTCCTTATTAGATACATTATTTGCAAATATTTTTTCTCATTCTGTGAGTTTTCTTTCATTTTTTTCCATAATTCCCATTGAAGCACAGAAGTTTTAAATGTTGATAAAGTTGAATTTATCTATTTTTTATTTTGTCACCTGTGCTTTTGGTGTCCTTTCTAAGAAGACCTGCCTACTCAAGGTCACAATGACTCATTCCTCTATTTTTCTCTATGAATTTCATAGTTTTGCCTCTTATATTTAGGTCTGTGGTCCATTTAAAATTAATTTTTGGGCTGGATGTGGTGACTCATGCCTGTAATCCCAGCACTTTGGGAGGCCAAGGCAGGCAGATCACCTGAGGTCAGGAGTTTCAGACCAGCCTGGCCAACATGGTGAAACCCTGCCTCTACTAAAAATACAAAAACTAGCCGGGCGTGGTGGCACATGCCTGTACTCCCAGCCACTTGGGAGGCTTAGGCAGGAGAATCGCTTGAACCCGGGAGGCAGCAATTGCAGTGAGTTGAGATGGTGCCATGGCACTCCAGCCTGGGTGACAGAGCAAGACTCCGTCTCAAAAGAAAAAAAAAAAAAAAGCTCTGAACAAGAGCTCTAAAGAAGATGTCTAGGAAAAAGATGCTAACGAGGATACTCACCTTCTCCAGAGAGGTTGAAACCACCCTACTCTGTTCAATACACCACAAACTGGAAGAACCATACGTTTAGGGGAATTAGACTTGGAGTCAGAGACCTAGAACCTCTACCTCCCCATCTGAGAAATGCCCCAAGTAAGTCCTGGAGAAAGTCAGGTCTTATGGCCATTTCATGAGGTTTGGTACTGGGTGTGGTAGCTCACACCTGTAATCCCAGCACTCTGGAGGCTGAGGCGGGCGGATCACTTGAGGTCAGGAGTTTGAGATTGGCCTGGCCAACATGGTGAAACTCCATCTCTACTAAAAACACAAAAATCAGCCTGGCATGGTGGCGGGCGCCTGTAATCCCAGCTACTTGGGAGGCTGAGGCAGGAGAATCGCTTGAGCTCGGGAGGCGGAGGTTGCAGTGAGCTGAGATTGCACCACTGCACTCCAGCCTGGGCAACAGACTACATCTCAAAACAAACAGACAAACAAATACAAGGAGGTTTGAGGAAGCCATCCTGCTTAGCTGTGGGGGTAAGATGTTAAGGAAGGAGTATTCTGAATGGTGGTCACTTAACTTCTCTGAGCCTCCAAGGTCTCATCTGTGAGACAGGAATAATTTGGGAAACAAGTGAGATGCTCTGTAAGCTGCAAAGTGCTGCTGATGTCACTGGTGGTGATGATGGTGATGGTACTGAGAGGCCAAATCTCAGGGCTGGGTCTTCCAAGGCCACCCTGACCCTATCTCAGTGCTGGATCCCTTTGCCAATATTCCTACAAAGTGGCCGCCCAGCCTGGACCCCTCTAGTGACAGACAGCCTAGTGTATCCTGAGATGGTTGTTCTGTATTTAGTTCCTTTACTTGTTAGAACCACTCCTCTTGATTAAAAAAAAAAAAAAATCATAAAGATTAAAAAAAAAAAAAAAAAAAAGAAAAACCGTAGTATAATATCAGCTATGCCAGGCACTGGAAGAGGCACAGTATTTAACCTTTTGAAAAATCCTTTGAGGTCAATATACTACTAAGTACCCCCATTAAAAGGTGGGGAAATAGGCCCAGGGAAGTGAAATGGCTTTTCAGGAGCCCACAGCTAGGAAAGATGCAGGCAGGATTTGAACCCAGGCACAACTGACTCCAAAGCCCACACACACAACCGTGGAGCTATTTCGTAGCCTTCCCCATCAATTCCCAAGCAAGGTCTCAGTTCAGTCCTGGGGACTTCGGGGGGCAGGGCTCGCCCTTTCTGTTCACATTGATCCTTGACTACCACCCTTTCCCAGATGTTCACCTCACCAACGTCGCTGTGCAAAAAACATCTCCCGACTACCACCCAAAGAAGGTGAGGAAGCTGCGCTTGGCTCTGCACGGGGGCAGCCCTCTAGGGCCGGGTTGGGGTAGGGAGGGTGGAGTGGCAAGGAGCCCAGGATAGGCCTGTCTGAGCCTGTGTTCACCAGTGAGGCAGGCCTGCCCATCCCACTTGCAGGGCTCAGGGCAGGACTACAAATGGAGGCCTACATATCATGTGTCTTAAGTATTTAAAAGTTGTAATCACACTAACACACCCCTAAACAAAAAATGTCCTATTCCCCTACCTTGACAGGTATCTTCTATTGGTCAATGGATTAATCGATTAATGTAACGTATCATACAGATATATTTTATCTCTCTATCTATGTAAAATAACCTGCAAGGCCAGGTTCAAATACAGAATTCTCAGACTTCTCAAAGTCAAGGGCCAGACCAAGGGGACACAGGAGAGCAGGTCCCCAGCTCACACCTGTTCCCTTCTCTCCCTCCCCTGGCTCCATCCCACACAGTGCGGCCCTTGTGCATACACGCCCCTGAAAACGGCAGCCTGTTGGTCACTCTTTGGCCTTGGGATGCACACATGGTCAGTGTGGTCTGTCCTCAGCAAGTCAGGCTCAGGGAAGGGGCCTACGCAGGCGGTGTGGGCAGGGACTTCTGGGATCCTGCATAGCCAGTCCTCTTAGACATGAAGAATTTTTTCCCTTGAAAGAGGGGCACACCTGGGGTCATCCTAATTACAGGGCTCAGGGCTGGGCCCCTCTTGCCCTGGTCTAAGGGAAACACTGAAGGCAATTGTGTAAGGGTCCTACCAGGCCAGATCCTGACTAACTGAGGCTTCTCTCTCAACCTGGCTGCCTGGGGCCCAGGGCTGCAAGTGGATGCTGCAGCGCTTCCGGCAGTACCTGGCATCCAAACATGGGCCCGAGGTGGTGGAGACGCTCTTCAGGGACATCGACAACATCTTTGTCAAAAGCCTGCAGAGTGTGCAGAAGGTGATCATCAGTGACAAGCACTGCTTCGAGCTGTACGGCTACGACATCCTCATCGACCAGGACCTCAAGCCGTAAGTGGGTGGGTGGGAGAGCCAGGAGGTCACAGTTTGAATACTCGGCACCCAGACTGCCCAGGTTTGAATCCCAGCTCTGCCAATTCCTAGTTGTGTAACCTTGTGCACACTTACATTTTCTGTGCCTCAATTTGCCCATTTGTAAATGGCGTTGGTCATGACAGGATCTATCCATACGTCATTAAAGGAACGTTATGAGGAATAAGTGAGATATAGTCTGTAGAGCACTGAGGACTGAGCCTGGCACTGGGAGGCCTTTCCTGATCATCTGCTGAGTCAGGAATTCGCCACTATACCAGGCAAGAAACTTCCCCTCTGTAAGTCTTAGAGCTTTGAAGGTGCAAAGCACCATATAATGGAATATTGTTACAATGTTGATCTTTGCCAAGACTTTGATCCACTCCCAAGATGCCCGTGGAAGAGGTTGAGCTGATGAATAGAACAAACCAGACCTGGCAGGGACCACCATGATGGCCTCACATGATGCAACAGGACACAGAAGCCTAGTGAGGGTCGGGGAGCTTGAGGTCATGTAGCCAGTCAAGGGCAAAGCCAGGCCCAGGGTCTAAGGACCTGGACTGAGCTGCTCCTCACCAGCACTGCCAGATCCAGGAGCCAACCCTCTATTCAGGGTCGCCATGTAAGTGTTGAGGGGTTTTCTAAGCCAGGAGGAGAAGCCCTCAAGGGAAACGGTCCCAGCACCAGCAGGACTCTCTCCTTTGTCCCCTGTAGCAGGATGTGACTGCTGGCATTAAGGTGGACCTGGTGGAGGAATAAGCTCTGGTCGGTGCTTGGATACCAGCTACTGCAGGAAGCACTGGAGCATCCACTTGTGGCCCTGGGGCCTGGGCAGTCAGGTTGGGGGAGGGACCTCAGTTAATCACCACCTGGCCTGCTGAGACCCCTAAACAATGGCCCTCAGCACTGCCCTTAGGCCTGGACAAGAGGGGTCCAGCCCTGAGTGTTGTGATTAGGATGACTCTGGCTGTGCCCCTCCGTGTGGGCAAAACTTCTGCAGGTCCAAGAGGACTGGCTGCATAGGACCCCAGGTGGCTACGTCACCCCTCAGAGCCTCAGTTTCCTCATTTGTAAAATGGGAAACACCATGTCTACCTCTCCAAGTTGTTAGAGTAATTTACCAAGATAATTTGCTGTATAGTGGAAAGGGACTTGGTCTCCCACAGACCTGCCAGGTGAGCCCTTCCCTCTCTGGGCTTCAGCTTCCTGTCTGTAAAAGGATGGGGTTGAACAAGACAAGAGGTGGTTAGCGGGAGGTCTTTGGGCTGCTTTTGGCCTGCAGATACTTGGAATTTGGCCTTTAGACTGTTTTTGTTTTTAATTTTAATTTATTGACAGGCTCTAAAATTTGGAAGATGTTTACATAAAAATCAGAATTACCAAGTACAGTGGCTCAAGCACCTATAATAATAATACCAACTACTCAGGAGGCTGAGGCAGGAGGATGACTTGAGGCCAGGAATTCAAGGCTGCAGAGAGCTAAGATTGCACCACTGCTCTCAGTAGCCTGAGTGACAGAGCCAGATCCTGACTCTTTGAAAAAAAAAAAAAAATCACAATTTTTGGCTTTTCTGGAAAAATCAGATGATCTCGCAATTCTGGACTCACATGCCCACAAGGCAACACTCTCCTGGAGCTGGCCACAGCTACCCCTTTAGACACGGAATGCCCTTTCCAGCTCACCACAGTCTCCACCTCTCCCCACTGCTTCCCAACCAGCAGGTTGGGTGCCACCTATAGTGCGCAAATTTTCACTAAGAAAGGGAAGTTTTTCTTGCATTCACATCTCTGTTGGAAGAAGGGAAAACAATAACACCACGAAAGCACCATAATCATGCCTATGCCAGCTTTCTACATTTGAGTTACCTTTCTTCAAAGTGGAAAGGTGGCTCACGCCTGTAATCCTAGCACTTTGGGAGGCCGAGGTCAGGATCACCTGAGGTCAGGAGTTTGAGATCAGCTTGACCAATATGGTGAAACCCTCTCTCTACTAAAAATACAAAAAAAAAAATAGCTGGGCATGGTGGTGGGCACCTGTAATCCCAGCTATTCGGGAGGTTGAGGCAGGAGAATCAACTGAACCTGTGAGGCAGAGGTTGCAGTGAGCTGAGATCATGCCATTGCACTCCAGCCTGGGCGACAAGAGCAGAACTCCGTCTCCAAAAAAAAAAAAAGAGGGGGGGGGGGGGGGGGAGGGAAGGGAGCTGGGCACAGTGGCTCCTATCTGTAATTCCAGTACTTTGGGAGGCTGAGGCAGGAGGATCACTTGAGGCCAGGAGTTTGAGACTAGCCTGGGCAACCTAGCAAGACCCTATCTCTATAAAAATAATTTTTAAAAATAGAAACGTAGAGGGAGTAGCCTGGATTGAATTAAGGGTGGGGTCCATGCATCCATCTAGCCTCTCAGTGAAATCCTAGTGGCTCCAGGGACCGAGTAACCCTAAGACTCTCTACTCCCCTTCCTCCCCAGGTGGCTCCTGGAGGTCAATGCGTCCCCGTCACTGACAGCCAGCAGCCAGGAAGACTATGAGCTCAAGACCTGCCTCCTGGAAGACACCCTGCATGTCGTGGACATGGAAGCAAGGTGAGGGAGGGCAGCCTTGATCACATATCCTTGTACATGACAACTGAGGCTCCCACCAAGGAAGAGGGGAAGCTTAGAACCTTGGGGCCTGAGTGGCCCTCAGTGATGGCTTTGGCCTGCCCTACCACTTTGTAGATGGAGAAGCTGAGATGTCCACAGAGGGTGGGGTCCTGACCCAAGGACTTGACCTCTCCAGGGCAGAGCAGGGTCAACTACAGCTTTCTGAGACAGTCCAGCAGGATTTCCTCGAAACCTTCTGACTGTGAGGCTTTGGACTAGTCACATCACCTTTCTGAGCCTCAGCTTCCTCATCTGTAAAATAGGAAATGCCATGTCTACCTCTCAGAGTTGTTAATTTACAACGATAATTTACTATCTAGTGCCTAGTTAACAGTAAGTGCTGAGTACAAAGCTATTGCTATAACAATGTGCAATGGCAGAAAAAAAAACCCAGAGCTACTTTTAGGAATGGGTGAATGGGTGAATCCAGGTGCTCAATGTTGGCTAGTCTGTTCCCCCTCCCCCTCCCCCTCCCCCTCCCTCTCCATCCCTTCTCTTTCCTCTGTGTTAGCTTTTCCCCAATTATTCCAGCAGAAGTTTGAGGACTGATTCTCCTTGCTGGGAACTGGGACACATGACCATTCCTAAACCACTCATTGTGACTCTGCTTGACCAAGCATAGTTCTTGTGCTCACCTCCTCGGGAGTGGGGACAACCCCATGTGAGCCATGGGGTGAGGGAGGGAGAAGTGGTTCTCAAAGCAAAACCCAAGGTACTCTTGGACTGAAAGAAGGTGAAATGGATGCTGAGCAGGCAGAAACCTCAGGTATCCACTATTCCTACCATCACCTATTCATTCAACAAACTTTTGAGCCCTGCTCTGTACCAGGCCCTGTGCCATGTCCTCTGGACACAGTAAGAAACACGACAGAACTAGTCCCTGCCTTTATGGAGTTTAAGGTCTGAGGAGGAAAGGAGACTTTAAACCACAAATCACAAATAGAGGCACGTGGCCGGGCGTGGTGGCTCACGCCTGTAATCCCAGCACTTTGGTAGGCCGAGGCGGGCAGATGATTTGAGGTCAGGAGTTTGAGACCATCCTGGCCGACACAGTGAAACCCCATGCCTACTAAAAATACAAAAATTAACCGAGTGTGGTGGTGTGCACCTGTAGTCCCAGCTACTCGGAAGGCTGAGTCAGAAGAATCGCTTGAACCTGGAGGCAGAAGTTGCAGTGAGCCAAGATCGTGCCATTGCACTCCAGCCTGGGTGACAGAGACTCCGTCTCAAAACAAAAACAAAAACAACAACAAAAACAAATAGGGGCACATTATCAAGAGTAAGGAGCCTTGGGGGAAAACTGGGGAACAACCCCTCAGAGACCTGCATAGGTACCCGGGAAACAGTCAATTAATGGTTAGGAAAAAAGGACTTCTGAGGGACGGACATCAGTCGGGCTCAGGGAGGGATCAGGGACCTCACTTGGGTGTTAGGGCCCCGCCAGGTGCACCTTCATTAACCCTGTGTGCCTCCTTCCTGTCCAGGCTCACGGGAAGGGAGAAGCGAGTCGGGGGCTTTGACCTCATGTGGAATGATGGCCCCGTTAGCAGAGAGGAGGGGGTTCCTGACCTGTCGGGAATGGGAAACTTTGTGACCAACACACACCTCGGTATGTAGGGCCAGGTGGAGTGGGCACAAGGGATGGGTCATGGGAGGTACCAGGTAGTCTAGGAGGCAGGTTGGGATAGTGGTTAGATTGTTTGAATTCAATCTGCAACTTACCAGCTGTGTGACCTTGGGTAAGGGACTTAACCTCTGTTCCTCATTTTTAAATTTGGTTTCTAAAAAGTGAAAACTTCCCCTGATTATAAAAAAAGGATTCACACTCATTGTAGAATATTTGAAAACTAAAGAAAGAAATAAAAAAACATCCAGACATAACCATCTTTAACAATCTGGTGTATTTCCTTCCAGTTCTTAAAAAATGCATATATTCATACTTTTTCTTTTACAAAATTGGCATTGGGCTAGAGTTTTGAATCCCACTTTTCCCCATGGCATTTTCCATTCAAGTATATTAAGAGCCTCCCTCTTGAATGTACTTTTTGGTCCAGTCTGGATGAAATCTTTTACATACATTATCTCATTTGATCTTTAAGCAGTTTTTATTGTCATTTTACAGATGAGGAAATGATATCCAGGTGCTATGTAACTTGCTGAATGAAGGTTTTGGTCATAAGTGGTGAGCCAGGACTCAAACTCCCATCTGCCTGGCTCTAAAACCTGAGTGCTTGACCGTTAGACTTTCCTGCCTCTTGGCAGAGTTTAAAAAAATTACTGTATGGCTGCAAAATATTTCAGTTTGTACATATGCCGACATTTACTAAACCAATTTCTTATAATTGGACATTTGGCACAATTGCATTTTATATTTTTTAACTTTTATAAATAATACCATGATGAACACCCTTTCACATTAAGCTCGGCTGAAATTCTGGCCATTTCCTGAGGACAGATTCCTAGAAGCAGAATTATTGGGCCAAAGGGATGGGATTATTACAACCAAATTGCTTTCCAGAAATATTATACGAATTTGCCAGATTTGAATTTTTAGGAAAAAAAAAAATCTGTGCCAACTGGCGAGGTAAAACATACTGACTCATTGTTGTTTTATGTGCATTCCATTGATTACTGGTGAGGTTTCCGTTTTGTAAATTTGCATTTCTTCTTTTGTAAGCTGTCTATACTCTTTATCCATTTTTTTAGGGGTTGTTTAGTTTTCTAAACGTATAAGGCTTCGGATGACTATATAACCTTGTCCAAGCTTAATTTAATACGCATACCATCACCTGGAAATCTTGTTAAACTGTAGATTGTGACTCCATAGGTCTAGGGTGGGGCCTAAGACTGTATTTCTAACAAGCTCCTGGGTAATGCTCTATGGATTAACCATTGCTGTGTAACAAACCCTCCCAAAACCTAGCAGCTTAAAGCAACTGTTTTATTTGTTCATGCTTCCTCAGGTCTCTCCTGGGGTCACTCATAGGGCTGCAGGCACCTGGCAGAGACTTGATGGCTACGACAGCCTCATTCATAGGTGTGGGGGTTGATACTGGCTGTCAGTTGGGCCTCTCTTTCCATGTGGCCACTCGTCTTCCAATAGTCTGGCCCTGGCTTCTTCATGTGGTAGACTCGGGCTTCCAAGAGGGTGAGAAAAGACACTGCGAAGGCTTTTGTGGCCCAGACTCAGAAGTCCCATAAAGTCATTCTGCTACAATCAAAGCATGTGTTAGTCTAACCCAGTCACTGGGTAAGAAAAGAGACCCCACCTCGCCGGGCGCAGTGGCTCATGCCTGTAATCCCAACACTTTGGGAGGCCGAGGCGGGCGTATCATGAGGTCAGGAGATCGAAACCATCCTGGCTAACACGGTGAAACCCCGTCTCTACTAAAAAATACAAAAAAAATTAGCTGGGTGTAGTGGCGGGTGCCTGTAGTCCCAGCTACTCAGGAGGCTGAGCAGGAGAGTGACGTGAACCCAGGAGGCAGAGCTTGCAGTGAGCAGAGATTGCGCCACTGCACTCCAGCCTGGGCGACACAGCGAGGCTGTCTCAAAAAAAGAAAAACAAAAAAGAAAAGAAAAGAAAAAAAAGAAAATAGACCCCACCTCTTGATGACAGGAGCAGCAGTCACCTTGCACAGAGGTGTGCATATAGGAATGGAATTGTTGCAGCCATTTTTGCTAACAGTGTACCTCAGATATCAATGCGCTAGTTCCTGGACCCCCATTTGAGTAGCAAAGATGGAAAGTGGCGGTTCTCCACCTTGGCTGCCCATTGGAATCACCCGGGAGCTTTAAAGACTACTGATGCCTGCCAGATCAAGATATGATTGGTGTGGGCATCAGTAGCTTTTAAAGCTCTCAGGTGATTCCAATATGCAGCCCAAGTTGCGAGCCACCGTTTTATATTTTAATTTTTAATTTTTTTTTTTGAGACGGAGTCTCGCTCTGTCACCCAGGCTGGAGTGCAGTGGTGTAATCATAGCTCACTGTAACTAACCTCAAACTCCCAGGCTCAAGCAGTCTTCCTGCCTCAGCCTCCCAAGTAGCTAGGCCTACAGGCACACACCATCACACCTGGCTAATTTTATTTTTGTGTGTGTGTTTTTTTCCTGTAGAGACAAAATCTCACTATGTTGACCAGGCTGGGAGAGCCAGTGCTTTAGAAGTCTCTAGAATTATTCCTGTTTCAAGTGTTTGGGTTGATGGTGGTAAACACAAGGGTAGCTGGTTAGGGTAGGAAGAGTACTGATGAATTGTGTTAGGGAAGTGTTCAGGGACATCCAGGTGAAAGGGTCAGCAGATAACTCAGAGATGTGTCTAGAACTCCAAGAAGTTTGCACCGGACAAGACTTGGGAGTTATGAATGAGCCAAATAGAGTTTAAGTTAGGGCTGCATGGAACTCACTCTGGAAAACCCTGAGGATGTGCATAGTAGGCTCTCAGCTCAGTGAATGGCTAAGTGAGTGCCTAGGAAGCAGGGGCAGTCAGGGTTTGGGGGGATGTGGAAGATGGCAGATACCCCCAGGTCAGTACTAGTGGCCAGAGAGATTCAGTCACTCAAGCAGCATTTTTGAGTGCCATCAATATGCCTGGCATGAGATTAAATGACCAGAGAGTTACCCCAAGGATCAGCTCTGAGAGCAAATAGCTAACATGTAGCACCATGAACGTCCTGGGAGAGACATCTCAGTGCTCACGGCAGAAATATTTAAAGGCACGAACTGCCTGGGACTGGGGGCCACATGTACGGAAAACTCATCCCTTAGCCAGTTGTGCCTGACACATGGGTTGGGTAAGGGAAGAAAGCTGATAGTACTGGGCAGCTATGAGAAGCCAGGCACTGAGCTAGCTTTAAATACATTTTCACTGAGCAAAGCCAGGAGGAGCGGCAGTGTGGGGTAGTGGTTAAGAGTGTAGCTCTGGCACCAGGTAGTCTGGGTTCAAATGATTTAACCTCTCTGAGCCCGTTTTCCCTTCTACACATCATTCCCGTGAAGGCCAAACAAATCCATCCACATTTAGCATCTGGAGCAGTCCCTGGCTTGAGGGAAGCTCCCAATCCTCATGTTCACTCCCTAAGGTGGGCAGTAGTATCTTGGTTTACAGATGAGAAGACCGATGCTGGAAAGGGTAAATGACCTGTTTGAGGGCCATGGCAGTTCAGGAATGGAGCCAGGATGTAAACCACAGGCTGTGTGTGGTTGTCTGACTCCTGCTGTCCCCTCTTCCCAGCAGGGAGTGGGGGCACAGGCCCCTCCACTCCTCCCAAGCACAGGTCATCCCAGCCAACACCCCACTTCCTTTCCAGGCTGCGTCAACGATCGGAAAAAACAACTGAGGCAGCTCTTCTACTCCCTTCAAGTCCAGAAGAAAGCTTCCAGTTGATCCCCAGCTGCCAGGAGGAAATCAGCCTTAGCAGGTGCCACCCAGGCCTCCCCCGCACTCTTAGATCCCAGCACAGCACCTCAAAGCTCTCACCTCCCCACCTCCACCCTGGCACCAGCTTTGCTGGCTTAGCAGCTGCAGCTTAGTACCTGAATTGGGCCGCTTGGATACCTCCAGCCCATCCCCAGGCATCTTTGCACCAGGAGACGCCAATCCCTAGGACTGGGGGGTGTTTTAACCTTGACAAACTGACTTGGCAATTAGGCCCAAAGAGAACAAATACAGCAAGTTCTGCTACCCCCAAGAGATCATATCTAATAAATGAGCACAGGCCCTACTTGGAGTCACTGGGCACCAGGCCTGGTTCAGGGGATACTGTTGGCTGCAGCCAAGTTCTCCTGGCTTTGACACTTGGATGCCTCCCAAGTCAGTGCTGAAAAGGTCCTTCAGGAGCAAGGGTTTGGAGGCTAAGGAACTTGTCTTTAAGCTGTGCTTACAAAGCAAGCCATTATTAGATTATGTTTATTGGGGGTCTGGGGAAGTACTGAGCCCTAAACACATCCTCTTCTCCTTGTAATACCCTGACCCTGCATATCAGGAACCCATGGGGCTCCCTGACTATCATCTGAAAACCAGTGGGACAGAGCATCCCCACTTCTCAGATGGACCAGACAGACCAGGGAGGCAGAGCTTAGTGAGGGTCTCTGCAAAGGTGCATTGATCTAAGTCAGATGGGTGACTTAAGTGCTTCTCTAGGCCCTGTGTTTGAGCTTCGGAGCTGAGCCAGAAACCAGAAACCTTGGGCTCGTGGGCAGGACAGCTTGGGGAGTTGAGTGTGAGTAAAAATCTCTGCATTTTCACATCTTACATTCCTAAGCCTCCTCTTGGTTTAAGAGGGGTTGCAACAAGAGTCGGGGCTGTTGGGGTAACTGCTCCAGGGGGGATTTACTCCCTCTACCACTCTGCCTGCTTCAGAGTACTTTCTCTGGCTGCAAATGGTGGAATCTGACTGCCTAGGTTAAGCCCAAAGGAAAGACTTTTGGAAGGAAAATACTGGCAAATCCAAGAAGTGAACCAGCTGACTTTAGGAAAGCCAGAAGCCAAGCTACTCTGGACCTTCTGCCTTCAGAGCATGAGGACTTCTCCCATTCATCCTTGTGACTGAGGCAAACACAGGTCCAGACATGGGCTCCAGGTTCCCTATTTCCAGAATGAATGCGATTGGCTCTTTTTGGCCCAGCACCCACCCTGCAAGGGAGGAAGGGGCAATTTTCCAATGGTGAAATTGTGAATCAGGCAGTCATACTGGAGAACATCTAGCAAGGTGAATTCTGCAACTCCCTACTTTATTTACATTTAAAAATAAGTAATACATTCATGTGGTTTAAAATCCAAAGTTTACCAATGGGTATAGGGTGACATCTCCTTCCCTCCCACCTCTGTGCCCCAACCCTGCAGGTGCTGTTCTGAGGGAATGATATTGTATTGGCACACACACATTATTAGCTTATAAGACACCTGCCTTCCCCTTGCTTTTCCCACTTGATGTATCTTAGAGCTTGTTTCTTATTCTTGAGTATAGTTGTATGGTATTGCACTGTCTGGAGCTACTGATTCCTTTAACTAGTCCCCTGTGGATGGACAGTTTGTTTCCAATTCCACCTGCCTACTTCTTAAGAGATCACAGGGAAAACACATAGTAATTTCTGCAAAACTCAAGAGGATTCAAAACTGTAGGTCTGGGCCAAGTTTGGCTTGGGTAGGGTAAAACACCTGTGACCCACACTCACGTTTTAAAACAGTTTCTGCATTAGTCAAAAATATTTAAAAGACAGGAGATTCAACTTCACAACCCAAATGTCTAGCTTCTCTTGAAAAAACGTTAAGAACTGGCCATGACAGCCTGTGTTTCTATGTAACTATGAGCCAGAGCCAAGAAGCAGGGGGACCAGGAGAGGGGTGCCCCTGCCATGCTGCCATTTGTTGTCACCTGCCTGTCAAATCACAGGTTCATTTCAAGGCAAGAACCATGTTCATAGGTGGTATTCTAAATGGAGCGGCGTGTCCTCACTGAAGGACTAGATGAGGTAAATAAAGACTAGTTGCTGCTATTCATTCATTCAGCTAACATTTATTGAGCCCTTAATGAACACAAGAGTTTTGACTTCATGACAGTTGATACTGGGACCTCAGACCACTGAAGGCAGACAGTAACGAGCAGTGCTGGCCAGGTCCCACTTTCAGAGGGGGTGGAAGGGCACTCTTGACACATGTCATATATGGTAAGAGGTGCACCCACTCACCCAGGCCTGGTGCAGGACTCTGCAAGGCCCTCCTGAGTAAAGAGCGGCCACAAAGCGCTGCTAGGCAGCACCCACTCTTGGAATCAAGCAGGGAAAAAGCGCAAAAATGGAGCTGGCAGAGAGGTGTGTGCGCCTGCCCCACAGATGGCTGTGGTGAGCCAGAAAGCACCAAGATTCTGTTCTTCATTCAGCAGCCACCCATGAGCCTCCTGGTTTATTCCAATCCCATGGCACCTGCCTGAAAACCTCTCTCCCTTCTGAGGGGAATGCTGGAATGAAACTCCATTCTGCCCCTCCCTCCCTCCCTCCTTGCTCAGGGTCCATGTGAACAGAAGGCCATTGTTGGGAAGTGCCTGTTGCAGTCATTCTTACACCCCCACAGCCACTGCCCCACACCCCCACTGATGGCTACCAGGGCCCATCAATAGATCTTGTGTCCACTGAGCCCTGGTGTCCAGGTCCAGCAGCCAGATAGGCTGAAGGTTCCCTCCTGCCATCATAGAGTAGCCAAGCACTACAGACAAAGAGGTTTTCATGGCCAGATTCCTGACGCCTGTCCCCTTACAGGGCAGATCCTGTCCTTACAGATGTCAAGGTTGGAGGGTTCTGGGTCCTCCATGACCCTGGGGGGTTGCTGGTCCCCCATCTTGGTTCTGGAGTCTCATCCTTTTAAGATGACCTTGAGAGCTTTAAGCTCATCCTGGTTGAGGGGGTTCAAGTTAAAACCCTTCAGCTCCGGTTTGCCTAGGAGAGAAGATGATCCATCAGCATGTCAGGCCTCCTGCTGGCTCTGGAACCAGGCCCAGGAAAGGGGCTGACACTGCACTAATGCTGCCAAACTTGGCCTGGAGGTCTGGCAGGGATGGGCCTCCAATTCTGCAATGCACCAGATGAGGCATCACCACCACTCCTGTGTCACCAAGAACCTACAAAGTCATGACTCTGCTGTCTCAGGTTTTTCCAAGACCTGTGACCAATCTAGAGTGCTTGTGTTTATCAAGAATTTCAGCTCTGACCTCAATCACTCACTGAAGCCTTCTGAGTTTCCTCAGTCGGAGCTATCTGATCCCCATGCCATGCCCTGATGTATAACGTGAGATCACCCCAAGCGGTTCCTGGGACCTGGAAAAGAAGCTGTGACAGGACTAGGACTCTATAAATTCCCATCCATTCTGTCCCTGGGCAGCTACAACCAACCACTGTGCACACCTCCAGGGCCACTCACGGGCTGCCCTGGCCACTGCCCACCTCTGAGGGTCGGGCTTCCCACCCCTGCCCTTCAAAGTCCATGCTGATGATTCTCTCCCCTCCTCGTCTCCAGTCCCTGCTAGGCCAATACCTTGGGCCTCAAAAAGGCGGTTGACCTTCACTTTAAGTTGCTTCCGGAGTTTTTCTATTTCTTTATCCAGATGATCCTGATCTGAAAAAATGAGGGGGGCAAGCAGAGGATGAGATTGTACCAGACAGACTTGACCCCAGGAGTGGAGATGCCAGCCTCTCCCCAGCAAGGGCGTGTAGCTTTCAGGAAGGAAAAGGAGACATCAGAGGCCAAATGAGGAAGGATTCAAGGCTAGAAGGGACATGACCTGCTCAGGACCACTCAGAGAGCCCAGGACACAGCAGTCCCGACTTCCATTACACTGGCCTTTTTTGCATTATGCAAAGTACCTTGAGGTGGTCAGTGGACAGAAAAGCCAACATCAGGACTTTAGGCCGCTCTCCCACAATGAAATTAGGGAAAACTCCAATGCACAAAGAAGCATCTCTAGATTCAGCCCACCCTAGATGGCTAGATAATGGATGCCTAAGAAATTTTACAAACCCGAGTCCACCAAGGTGGGGGGGTTTTAGAAAAATATGATTGTGTGAACATGTGACGTAAACAATCAACACTCAAGCCTAATGCTCAGGCTTAACTTAATTAGCCACTGTGAACAGAAAAGGGTCTCCTAGTGTCCTGGACTGCCCCTGAGAAGTCAGTGTGATGACAGAGGTGGCTATCAAAGCCTCATTGACCAATCAACTGAAGTCACCCAGCCAATTCTACCTGCTCACGAGTGACATTCTGGCTAGTCTGTCTCCCCACAGACTCACTCTTTCTGATGGGGAGAAACCCTGAATGGCCAAGTCTTATAGCCTGGTTCTATTTCTCATTGTGAATGAGTAACCCCAGTGTCCATGAGCTTGTTTAGCCTGTGTTGATCCCCAAGAAACCTGATGATGTCTCAGAACCCCTCTAGGTACAGTGACAAGACCACATTTGGGGACCAAAAGAGCCAACAAGATCCTCAACCCAGGCAAGGGACCCCTCTGAAAGCTTAGTCTACAGCCCACCACCAAGTGCAGTTTAATTTTATAACCGTATTATTACTGTATTTTTTCAACACAACAGTTGGAAACTTCTCCATGCTGGATATAGCTTTCTCTGTTAGTAGTTTTATGTAATTGGCCGGGAGCAGTGGCTCATGCCTGTAATCCCAGCACTTCGGGAGGTCAAGGCGGGTGGATTACCTGAGGTCAGGAGTTCCAAGACCAGCCTGGCCAACATAGTGAAACCCTGTCTTTACTAAAACAACACAAAAATTAGCCGGGCATGATGGCATGCACCTATAATTCCAGCTAATCAGGAAGCTGAGGCAGGAGAATTGCTTGAACCTGGGCGGCAAGGTTGCAGTGAGCCGAGATAGCGCCATTGCACTCCAGCCTGGGTGACAGAGCAAGACTCTGTCTCAAGGAAAAAAAAAAAAAAAGTTTTATTTCATGAGGTATGAAGACACCCTATCTTCAGGG